TATGCTGCTAATATTCATCCAGCATTCACATTGAGAGTCAGAGATAGCAACATCTCTATGTTGAAATGACGGACTAACTTTTTTTTTTTTTTAAAAAAAAAAAAAAAAAAAGAGTATTAATGGAATTCCATTTACAATTCTAAAAACCCAACAGCTTTCTATTCTGCCCTGTGGTTTGACCACGGCCCTCACACCTCTGATATGATGAAACACTTCCCAACCACAGAGCAAAATGTTGCATTTCCATCTTACTCACAGGAGCTGCAAGGAAAAATAGATGGTCTTGAACAACCAAATTGGTATGTTGCAAGGCAAGGTTCCCATTAGCTACCACTCTCCAAAGGAGATATTGACTCTAACTCTGAATTTGCTTCACCACCTGGTCTCAGCTGGAAACTTACTTTATCTAAAAGTTTGCTTTGCTACAGACATTACAGTTATTTATCATGAGCAATGTATTATTCTGACAGATATGTTGAGCTTGCACATACTATACAAAACTTATTCATCTTCCTGCTGTTCTCACGATGTCTTACGACTTCCACCTCAGTTCATGATTCTCTCTGTGTTCAGCCAACTGAGCTAGAAATGTGAGGTTTCTGGGGAACAACGGTGCTGCAGCCAGAGATGCGCCTCAAAACACTCCTCAGAGCTTTGTTGGAAGATATGTTGTCAGATCACAAAGTCCTTCCCCTTGTGTGATTCTATCCAAACCATCTAACATGCTGGGATTCAAGCTGAAAAGCCCATATTTATTAAGAACCAGGTTGTCTTTGGGTTTGCTTTTGCTAAGGATTCATTTTATTTTCACCACCCCCACCTGCCAAGAGCTCTAAGCAAAAATATTTTGCAGGATCTGAACCCAGCAAGATTTATCAGTCTGAGTCATCTTCTTTAAATCCCATTTCTGTTTCACATAAGTATGGATGAGAAAAAGTGGATTTTTAAGGCAGGCTGGACTTTCACAACCATGTGTAATGAAACCCCAGCTTCCACAATCCTCTGACCTTTCAGTTACCCTTACCATGTTCCCCAGAAATTCCAGAGGGCTTCAGGAACTCCTACTCTGTGCCAGTTTGCTTGCCTGCTGTGCACTACTAAGGAAAATATATGCGTTACTCTTTACACAAACTGTGTATTTCAGACAAACAGTTGGAAAGATAAACAGAAATTAAATTTTCATTTTCCAGAAACTGTTTTTGTGCAAAGATTTTAAACAAATGGTATTTTTTTTAAAAAAAAAGCCACAACTAAAGCAAACAAACCAAACAACTATCTCTCCTTCCCCTTCAGGAAACCTACGGAGATGTCACCATCTCCAAAACCTGCCGTGTGCAGCAAGCGGCATCTTTTTGCAGCTATCACTGGAGTTGGTCCTTTGCACCCTGCAGACAGCACACTGCATTGCTCAGGAAACCACCTCAAGAGCTGCATGGATGCTTCTTTGGTCACCCATCTTTGACCATCACTTCCCTGAGACTGCTCTGGTACTTGCCTTACCCCCAATAAGGCAGTTCAGTTTTCCATAAATGAATAAACACGGCTAAGACAATGGCTAGATCTCACTCAAACCGTAAGAGGTACATGCCTCCAAAGAGAAACAGAGCAGCAGGGCTGCAGCAGCAAGCTTCTAGGTGGAGATCAAGTTATGACTGGGTCCAACTCTCCTTCCCAAAGAGTTTTAATAAACTCTTTCATGCAAGCTGCAGCCCAGCCTTCCTATGCCATGCCAAACTAGGGATAAGTTTTTTTTAATTTTTTTAAAGTTTGGCTGGTACCAATTGAGCATTTTTTGTTAACTGAACGCCAAGTTTCTCTTCAGTATTTTATCATCAAAACACATATATTTATTTATCCGTTCCACCATGATTATACCTGAACCACTGCAATCCACACCCAAAACTGCTAGGCAGCAGTATAGTCAAAGTAAAGGTGAAAGCTAAGGCTTATTTTCATTTGTCTAAAATGGGTTTGGAATTTAGGCAATCCCACTAATATAATGCCCCTGTTAGATTTTATAATAATTAAGGTGTCATAAAAGTAAATATGACTTAAATTAATAATACTTCATAAAAAAAAACCTCTTCACCCTAACTCAATACATACAAGCATAGCACACAGTATTCCATATAAAACAGAACATTTCATTATTCATATAAGCTTTCACTTTGCATATTACTCAAGAAATTTGTTTTCCAAAATAACCATGAATTCAAAGAAACAATATAATGAAACCCTTCTGGAGATTCAACCGAAGATGCCTGTTGAGCACTGTAATTCTGTACTGCTGAAAAAAACCTGCCAAGTATTTGAAGTCAACACAAAGGTTAAAAACCACACTTATATGGAACTCAAATATGTAAACTCCCTATAGAACAAAACCAAACCTGAAGAAATTCCTGAAGGGGGAAAAAAAAAAAAAAGGGGGGGGGGTGAGGGGGAGGGGAAAGAAACAAGATGTCTTTTACAGCATCTGTTTTCCTCTGATAATCAGAATGCCACAAAACTTAAGAATATGAGTTTTCTGTTTCCTTTTAATCAAGGAAGCCAGGAAAGAAATGGATGCTAGTTGCCCAATGATGAATGCATAAAATGTTTTAGAAATGGACTTGAGGACATGAGTCTAGAGGAGCATGGAGAGGAGCTGTAGAAAGAGCATGATCAAAAGATCTTCAGATTACAGGATTTGCAAGACTGGAATTCAAGTTGCAGAATCTGTTTATCTTTTCGGAAAAAAAAAGCGCCATCTCGAAGTTAAAATCTCCATATGGTTCAAAAAAAAAAAAAAAAACCAACAACAAAAGAACCCCCCAACAAAACAAAAACAAACAAACAAAAAACAACAGAAAAAAATCCCACTACCAACAGTAATTTCTAAATCTCATAAAGGCTTGGTAGGGAGCTATTAATGCAAGACTGAAAGACACTGAAAACAGCAGAAGCAGGAACCACAGAAGTTTATATACGAAGTCACACAAAACACTATCTAGAAGCAGATTTGTGGGAGAAGCAACTTACAAACAATGAAAATATTTCCACAACATGGCAAGAAAGCCTACCCCCTAATTCCTTAGCAATCTGTTTCCATCTCTAAATCCTATGGTTCATCAGCCACCGTATCCCAAGCCTTGTCAGGTACCAATGCTTGCTTTTCTATAAATTCAAAACCCCATCATTTTTAGTTTAAGTTTTACATGCCAGGATGACATCTGAGATCTTCAAAGCTGGTACATTGAGCACATTCCTCTCAAGTCTGGGAAAATATATCTCCCCTCCCACCACTGCCATCATAATCATTATCCTCTGAAACCCTCCCATTATGACCCTCAATCACAATCTTTTGAAACTGAAGTATTTATGTAAAACCTTTTCCACAGGGTAACACAAAACATCAGCTCTCTCAGTGACTATCTTCCAGTGGTATTTTAACAATACCACTAGATGATCTTGGTTTACAAGAATCTTCTACCTTTCTTCTCCTTTTCTTTATTTTTGAAGACTTGTAGGAACTAGAAATAACTTGAAGGAACAATAATACACTACAAGTAAGATATAAACTACACATCTAATGAATAGTCCAAATGTTTGTATCTGGAAACAAACAAAAAATATGCATGTAAAAACGAGAGTTCTTACAGTTAAGATTCAAGACAACACTTAAGTCACCACAAAAATTAAATCTAGCCTATGGTTTTCTGGTTTGGATCAAATAGCTGCTTCAGAGGCCATTTAGGCAATCAAATCGCTGATAGAATAATTGTATTGTCCTTCTCAGAATGATTTTGGTTTAATTTGAATTCTTTTTCTGGATGCCTCACGCAAAAAGAATGTGCAGCACTCGTTACTTTTCTGGGACAAAGGCAACTAATAGTTTTTACATACATTTGATGTGGAAATGCCCATTCTCAGCTTGTGCAATAATATATGGCAAGTTAACCCAAACTTATGACCTCTGGCCAAGTTAACTACACTTCCTCTCTAACAAGATACACAGCTGACCAGCAAAAGTAGACATTTTGTTGGCTCATCCCATTAAAACTTATCAATACAAGCATCTAGAGATGTTTTGCATTCTACTCATATTAAGAATTCAGGTAGCTTTCCCTAGTGTTGACATTGTATGTTTAGCATAAAGTGGGATCTTCCACTTCTTGCAGGAATCGTGCATGTGTCCCTGTTCACCTTGGGTCTTTTAAGATGAGATCAATAGTTCTGGTGACAGGACTAAGTGGCCTAGATACCCTAGTGACATGAATAGCCACCAAGGCTTTCATAGGAAAAAATTATGAAGAAAAAATTACTTGAATTCATTTACACCCACGAAAAGGGTTTCTGATGCTAAATGGCTACAAAATTTATCCTACAGCCTCTGACCAGCAAATTTGCCAGACAGCATATAGGAAATCTTTTAAATTTCCTGTGAAAATGACTACACGTGTCTCCCCCCTTTCCCCCCTACAACGTGATTTACAGCCAAAACATTGGCAAATCCCTCAGCTGAAGCCTTAAGAGAGATCTTTGTATCATCAGAGCTATATCAATGCAACCTAAACTTTGCTGTGGATGGGAAGGAGTGGATTCTAAAAATACTCCAGTTACACAGAACACTTCCCAGTCCGCCCATTCCCTAATAAAGGGACATCTGAAATGGTCTGTGAATATAAAATAGGATGGTGGCCTTTAAATAAAGAGAAGTAATGGCATACAGGTTTATTCACAGGAGTCATCAGTGCTTGATACATCTGAAGATGATGAAGCTTCATGCAGTGACAAGCTGATTAAAGTTACAGATCCAAATCACAGAATAGGTAACCTTTGCAGTCTAACACCATGTATAAATGGTATAGTTTTAAACAAAAATGGAAACAGAGCTAAATTTTGAAAACTTACTAGGTTTTTGTAGCAAGACCACATAGGAACAATAGGCAAGAGAGCATTAATTAAAAACATACAGAACGTGGTGTCAATACCCCAGATATTAATTTGATGTCATTACTTACCAAGCCAGCTATTGGAGTTGGCAGACGATTGATCTTCTTAACAACGCCAGGTTTGATCTTGTTAATCAAACTGAAAGGAAGTCATATAATTTTCTGTTACATAATCAACTTTATTTAAGCATGAGCATCAATGCTTATTTAAGAAACACTTTGCATGCAGTTAACTTATATGACTTGAACCAAGTAAATCTGAACCTGTTAACGCCCCCTAAATTTTTTTTTTAATTCAGTTTTCCAAGAAGTGACAAGCAACAACAGACTGTAGAAGCAAAAATGGGACAAGTCACACACACCAAAAATTTCTGAGAATGGCAAAGTGAGAAAGAAGAAAAGAAAATGCCTGTGTAGGCATAGACAGAAATGAATCTGTGTTTCTACTACATGGATGGTGATGCTAATCAGACTCAAATTTCCCATTTAAAGATTTTTTTCACATAAAAGTTCTGATGCAGAACATGCAAAAAAATATATCAGAATATTAATTTTCAGAGTTCAGTATGAAAGCACTGATATTCTTGTAAGTGTTAGAAATCAACTCAGTTTTTGTAATGCTATCAAGCCCAGTATGATGCGTGCAACAATCATTTTTGGCACATATTCTACATGCACAAGTCATTTTCAGTCTCAGCCAGAAGAGATTGTGCCTCATATCACCCTCACTTTATATAAAATTCATCACTAAACTGAGAAGATAGAACAGACTAACACATCACTGTTGAATACACAAGCTCATATGTATACCTTGTCCTGCAGTAAGGATGAGGCACAGAATTCCTTGTACATTTATACCCAGGTTTTCAGTCATGGAGGTAGGGAAATACTGTGGTTCACCAAATTACACACTAGACCACAGGATCAGTAGAGAATGGGGACCTCAGGACAACCTGCAGACTTTACCTGCCCATATACCTTTGAAAATTTTGGACTTGCTCCTCCTTCTTGTTGCTGCTTGTCTGGCCAGATCCTTTACCCCACAAAGCATCAGCAAGGTTTTGTGATCTACCCACGCCAATTCAGAGTCAGGACCTAGAGTTTAAAACTCAAGCAGCAAAAGTGTTTGGAAAACAAACACAGAGAACAGAGCTTACCTATACAACCGAGAAAGGAAAATAGATTTCTAAGTGCTCTCAGAAGAAATAATGGCTGCAGGTCCTGAGATTTTTCAACTGCATTAAATTACTTAGTAAACAAAATACATTTGATGTCTTCATACACACACAAACACACACACACAAAAAAAAAGAAAAATAGGTGATCTGTTGAGGTGAAATTAAAAAAATAGTTTGGGTTCCCCCCTCTTTTTTTTTTTTTTTAATCTTCCAAATGCATAATTTTTATTTGCTTTATTGTACTTAAGAACATGAAGTAGCATGTGATCAGGAAAACTTCAGTGAGTTTCTTCCTCTAATGTATACACAGGAGATCTGGTTAAATATAAAAGGCTTTATTTTGTCAACTACCGATCACCCAGTCAACATGAGCACTTGGTCATTAAGAAGGCCCAACAAATCAACTGGACTTCTACAGGAATACGTAGTTCAAGTATAGGTTTTATCTCCTATAGTTTAAGTCAAATATACCATCTCCAGAGATAATATACCTATGGACACTAAATTATCCACGTCACAGGTGAACCAAGGAAATGGGCAATGTCATGCCTAGTTTGTCTCAATTATTTAAGATCTTGCACTCTATTGACTTTGATGAAAATTTGACATCTGAAAACGTTTCCGATCTTGCTCATTTCTGTTTCCATGGAATTTCTATGGAAGTCACTTCTCCTTGTACTTAAGTATGTCAAATTTAAAATTATGACACAGGAGAACAGCTACATGATTTAGTGCAACATAATGAGGCATCTTTTTCTTTAAAGGAAGTTGCATGCCTCCTAAGGCAAGCTGCTCAGCTGAAGAAATTACAGGATGTTTTTCATCCATATGGCTATTAGTTACAGATAAATTTAACTGATTTGCATTTGGCAGATGGAGGCTCATTTTTTTGCCAAATAAGCATCAACAATGAAGATATCAAAGGGTTAGAATATATCAGTTCACTGCCAATTATTAAAGACACTATTATAAAGTTACAGCTGAATACAATACACATGTCCCACTAAACACATACCTGAAGAAATACGTTGTTACTAAAAGTATAAACTATTTTTATTACCACATTTTCTCCAGTTAACTTTTGATTATGTAATTAAAAACAGTGTCCATCTCTACATCATTCCAAGGGAACCAGCTCCCCCATATCACAAAGATAACTGGAGAAGCAACTAGCAAGATAGACTGGATGGGCAAAGGGCCCAAAGAGAAAGGCAAGGACAGCACACACAGTAATATTCACAAAAGAGAAAATGGAGGAATGTTGCCTTTTTGCATTTACTTTGGTTATTTCTGACATATAGTAACAAAAAGAAAATAATCAGAGAACTGGATCTTTGTAAATATTTTCTGAAAGTTAGCTTGGCCGAACCAATTTAAGAGTGGCTCTGAGATTGGAGATATTTTTTCAAATGTCTCAGGTAGTCCTCCAATGAAGTTTCTCTCTTACTGGCATTCTAATGATATTTACACCTGCTGTTCCTTAAAATACTAAGGGATTAGCACCGCTTCCAGTCCTAAAAACCTGTTCCAGTAAGTACAAAACCAATTACAGATATGTGGAAGAGAACTGACGAGTGGACATTTTACACCTCTGACTCAGTCTAGCAACGAAACCAGACAAGTCCTATTATTGCCAAACTTATAATATATAGCACAAGGAAGCTTTTTAGAGAAAGTACTCCAGAAAAAGCTGAGGTCAGAGTTTGTTGTTAAAAGCGATAACTAAACCAGTCCAGATAGTACTGAAACCTGGAGTGCATGTGCACATACATGACAACATATTTCTACATTATGCTGAGACTAGATGCACTTACTCTTACCATCCTAAAGTGTTTGTTGTTTTTAAAAAAGATAAAAGTATGTTTTTATAAAGTATGACAAATGATGTCCAATAGACTGTGCATTATTGAGATACTTGGATGTAACCATAAAAGCAGTATTAGTAAGTAATAGACACGTGAAATCAAAGGCCTGCGTGTTATCTTTAATTTACAATTTTGTAAAATTCACTTCTGAAATCTAGCACATTTTAAAAAGAAAACTTCTCTGGGTGCAAAGTTCTCTGGTAGGAATAGGTAGATTTCAGGATTTAGAGAACAACTGACACACAGTTCATAGTGATTTCTTATGGGTGGATGGGGATGTGGGACAAAAACCCAAACCTTAACAACAGGGGGTATACAGGTAACCAAGTGCCTTGATCCCAGCCATGGCCACACCACCTTGAACGAGCTGAAGAGAAAGCCCAGTGATACCATGAGCATTGTAACCAATAAAACTTATCAACTGGCCAGAGCATCATCATGACCCTCTTGCTAACACACGAGCAAGTGTGTGGGACAACATGTGAAACACAAATCTTGAGAGATGATGTTTGAAAGCTGTTCTACCTTCCCGCAGCAAACAACAAGTACTTCCAAAAAATAAAATAAAATTACTTTTTACAAAATATTTTTGGTACTTAAAAAAAAATTCAGCAGCCAGCAGGGAAAGAGGCCAACTGATGTTAACCTGAAGGACTTCTGTATGTCAGTCAATACTTACTCGCACAGTAGGACTCCATTTTCCAGAGCTGCTCGAAAGTCTTTGGTTCCAAAGCTTTTCCCAGTAACTGTCTATAAAAATAAGAATTGGGAGTTAATTGGACACACACAAAATCAGGATTAACAAGATTATATCTAAGAAGTACTAAAAAATTACATATATATATATATATATATGTATATTTTCAATTCAACATGTAGTTCATAATATCTGTGTTTTTCTTAGATTAATTTCAAGATAAATAAGTATTAAAAAAAACAATCTTTATGCCTCAAAAGAAGACAGATCCAACTTCAAGTAGTTTCTTCTAGTGTAAATCAAGCTTCAGCTAAATTCTGTGGGAATACTCATTTTCTAAAGCAATACCATCCACACTCAAAAGCATAAAATAAATTTCAAACAGAAGTGCAAATGAGAGAAAGTCTTATCTTCTACTTCATACTAAAGCATATATACTCATGATATCTGACACAAAATATTATATGCTTTTTTTTTTTTCCTGCCGCTTGCAACTAAGACAGTGTGACTAAAGAACCACTCCAGCAAGTCTGTATTACCACATGCACGTCAATTCCCATTACCTGGCAAGCATTAGGACTATACTAATGGGACTACTTTTTATATTCACAGTGAAAAACAGTGAACAGAAACAACGTCATATAAAGGACTTAAGATAACCAAAGCTGAAGGCACTGCCTACAGGTTTTCAGCAAAGTTGTTTTCCACCAAATAAAAAAAAAAAAATTGCTCCTGGAATTAACTCCCTCCATCTCAAACAAGACCATCAATGCAGCACCCTGATCAAGTCTAAACTTACTTGGATTCTTCCTACTAGATTCCCCGCTCTGCCCATGTCCCTTAAAAGGACCAAATTTGGCAGATTTCTTCTAGACACCCAGATTAGTAACCCACACATGAGTCAAACAAGGAGCCAATCTCCCTAAAACAGTCCAAAAGAGGGTTTTGTCCTAGTTGGCTATAGAAATCAAACAATAGGAAGGGTATTTATTTGAGCTTAGAGGTCACCATGTTCAGTCACCAGATAAATATGAACCTCCCTTTAGGGACCCTGACTGTCCCCAATATTGCACAGGACTTCAGGCACACAGTTAAACTTGCTGTAGAACCTGCATGCATCCAGACCAAAGCTACTGATTACCACAATAATTAAGGAAATTAGTAGTGAAACAAATGAGCTGTGCTTGATAAGAGCAAAAGAAGAGGATGTAGCTCTTTAAGGATCTGTTACATTATTACCCTACTATTTTTGTCTAAATTACAAAAATAATGTATATTAAAACCAGAAATCCTATAATTTAAGTAATTAGTTTTAATGTAAATTATCTTTTAATTCAAAAGCTGGAACTTCAATCTCCTAATCCCAGACAAAAATAAATGTTAGAAAAATCTTCTTTTGGGTTTAAGGTTTCTTTTTCTAGGATTTAACTAATAATGAGAGATGAAGAATAATGGCACACCAACTCAAGGCAAGAAATATTTCAAAATTCAGGGAAAGGAAAAAAACAACTTTTAACTACAACAAAGGGTAATAATGATTCTCCTGGGAAAAATGCATTTTAGACAATATTCCTCTAACAACAGTCTGTTCTTATAGGAAACGAGATGCTGCATCTTAAAAATATAATTTTTTAAAATTACTTAAAAACACAGTATCTTAAAATTACTCTTATCTCAAATAAAATACGGCCTCTTGCTTCCAAATTTGTATATTCAGTGATATTTTGAGGAAACTAACCAATGTAACGTAACAGCACTGAAAGTTTAAATATAAATATTTGTGTTTCCTAGGTAATAGGGAATATGGGTTATAAATTAAGCTTTTCATTCTGCAAGCTAGAAACTTGAAGTTTGCATGACATACAGCAGAACTGTACTCTAAGAGGGGCTGTAGGACGTGAGTCTGGCTTTATGGTTATGTTTCAAACTACAAATTCCAATCAATTCTTAGAATCCAAAAGTTAATCTCATTCTGCAGCTGGCACTGACATCTACAGGTCTACACAGTCCAAATGTTCAATTTTATATAGACAGTTTACTGGTAAGTCATGCATGCAATAGATGGTGAGATGCTTCCTTCACCTAGAGTTGGGACCGTCCCAAACCTGCAATGTCTTATATATCTGCAAACAACCTTCACACTGAAATTCCTTTAAAAAAAACCCAACCAACCAAACAAACAAAAAAAAAACAAATCCAAGAACTGCAGCATGTAGCTAAGGATATCACTCCTCAAAAATTACTTTCAAGATTTCAAGGAGTATGTGCCACTGAAGGCATGTTAAACTTCAGCATAGCCGCTCCAGAAAACAAGAGTGCCACGCTGCAGTACATAATCATGTTTTTGTGACGCATCTTGTGGTCTTTTCCACAAAAAAACCCCAACACCTCAGTCTTCAGAATGACATGTGGAACATTTTTGACTGCCACAAAGTCTTCAGGCACATGATCTCAGGTAACTAGAAGCCATCCTTGAACAACAAAAGAGTCTAACTGGAGTATAAGGTAGTAAATGCTACTATTAGACTTGCAAACCTCTTAAATTTACATTGGAGGACTTTACACTGGAAGCATTTTGATTAAGTTACCTGTACAGCCACTGTGGCAATCAATGATGATTTGATATACAGGATGGAGCTGTCAGACCGATCTTGTGACCCACAGATTTTGACAGCTATGTGGTTTGTTGGCATTAAAATAAAAGCGTTGGTACTGCCAAGTTAGGTTTCATTAATATTGACTTTCAAAGGATAACTAATAATTAAGTAATTAAGAGGTAATTTCAAGGAGCAACTTAACACTGGTGGCTTGAAGCCAAAATATTTTCCAAGTTGCACAACACCTTGAATTTGTTCATGTCACAAAAATAAATACTCCATTTTAAACCCTGCTTTTGTACAGAGATGGAAGACTTTTCTCAGCACAGACTTTCATCCAGCTTATACCCACTGCAAGGCATCAAGCTCAGCTGTAGCTATTATAGCCTACATAGGAACTAGGTATCATTAAGACAAAAATGGAAAGCCCTGGACTGGCTCAAGATTTCCCTGACTTAAGAACCTGAGTAAGACAAAGTGAATCCCACCCCGAGATATTACATCTTCAAACAATGTATACGATTTGTGAGTCACTGTTTATTCATTAAAACTGGTTATGCTGGGTGTGGTACTGCTATGTAACACGCATAATTGATTTTGGACAATTTTTCAAACACTTAGGCCATGTGAGCCACCAAATAATAAAGGAATATCTTGCAAATGCAATTTTTATCCATGTTTGAACAACATCTCTTTTCAAATTATGTCTCTTTTCTCTCCTTCATCCAGCTGAATGTATCCTGCTTTTTTCTCTGCTTTTTTGATAGGAAGAGAGCAATGACATAATTAAAGGCTATATCATAAAATCACATTTAATTGCTGCTATAAAACAGTTTGATTTTATTTTTGTAAGACAGCGTCCCTTAATACTTTGGTAACTTGCAATTGCCAGGTCCAAACAATTTACTTCAAACAGTATGCAAATCAAGTCTTTACTTAAATTTAGACATTTTAAAAATGCTTACACACACAGAGGGCTAGTTTAATTTCAGGTTTGCTGTGATTCTTGTAGGAGGAGGCAAATCAAGAAGAAATAACCAAAGATCAACCATTCTAAAGATGGCATGACATCAAAATCATGATGGACTGAACAAAAAGCACATGGCACAGAAGAATACGCTAATTATATGCCTCAGTACCAAAATTAACATTGAGTACATTTCTTTGGCTTGTCCTACTAGAAGCCAAATATAGCTGATCATAATAGACCTTCTTAGCCTTAAAAGCTGTTCAAAGTTGAAAGATTTTCCCGTGTTAATAAAAAATACTAATTACCAAGTTGCTTCCATGGTTCACACTGGTTTGAATGGCTTTAGCAGAAAGGCAGCTCTACTGCAGGACAGTAGACATCTTCAAGTGAGTCCGTTTCCCATACATACCACCACATGCAACTCAAAGTGCAAAGGACTGCCAGGTTTCTCAATTTAATTTTGCTGTGGTGGAAACACCAAAGCTAGACTCTTCCCATCCAGTGCAAGACTCACACCACACACACAGGCACTCTGGCTAACCAATGCTCCATCACAAAAGAGTTAGCTGCTTAGAAACAAGGAGGCAGCACTGCATGGTGCTCAGCCTGCAACCTGAACAACGTCTTCCTGCAAAGGAGCCAGGTACGCACCATCCAGCCAGCTCTGCAGTTCACACTGTCCGCCTCTGCTCTCTCCATCTCATTCAGAGCTCCTCTGCCACCGCCCCACATAGACTACGCTATCTCAAACCACACAAGGATCCCATGCGTCGATTTGAGAGAAATGCCAACTGCACCAGTGTGAAGCACATAGCTCCCTGATGTAGGGGCATAGGTTAGGGATGGAAGATTCAAGAGAGATACTGAGCCACACATGACAGCAACAGCCTTAATGCAGGCTTGCACAAGGATCTCACAGGGAAAGAAATTAATCATATGGCAACCTCAAGTATACTACATTGATTTATGAACTTCAGGTCCCCAGCTCAGTCTGCAGCAAGAAAAGCCAAGTTTATCATGCTGCAGAGAAGACTGTTCATGTGCTGTAGGGAACTGGGACAACGATACAAATCTGATGCTGCCATACCATCCCCACTACATAATTTCAGCTACGCCTGCCAGTTTCTGTCATGGTGCCTGCCTCAGTGGATCACCTCACATATGCATCAACGGCTGAATTACTACCTTGCTAATAGCCTTTCTTCCCCCTACCCCAGTTACCAAAATTCTGGATCAGACTGCATTGCAAACAACTCCATCCTTGCATAATCCCAGCATTACATATCTCTGTTTACAGCTCTCATTTGACTCTAACCGTCCTCATCCAATATTTCACTCCAGAATGGTACTGCTACTCTAAGATGCACAGGGAGATATATAGGCTACACCCACAGCCAACAAGCAAGTATTCGAGACACTCCCAATGCTTGGGCATCTATATGATTTGGCAGGGCCTGGAAGTAGATTCACGACACATTTTTATACA